TATAGTTCTATTTGTCTTTATATTATTTTTTATTATTTTATATTTTTTGCTGCTGTATTTAATTCGTATATTATATATTTATATAATGCTGCTGATATAACTATAAATAAAAAAATAAAATTTCTCTTTCTTTCCTTTTTCTATAAATTTTTAAAAAAAAAAGAAAACCCCAAGTAACAAAAAACAAAAGAAATAAAAAAAACAAATGTTTGTGTGCATGCATGCATGCAGCAAAAACAGGAGCAGCAGCAGCAGGAGGAGGAGGAGGAGATGATGAATCTGTGTATAGATCAGCACTTATAGAATATTTAAAAAAAAACGGAACGACACCGCTCGCCTCATTAGGACAAAAAGTAAAGAAACCAAACAGCATACCGAAGATGGCTTCTTTCTTAAAACAAAATGCAAATATTTTCGCTGTTGAGGGGGGGAAATGTTCACTGAAATAAATAAAAATATTAATTGCTTTTTGTTTAATAAATTAAATATTTATAATTGCTTTTTGTTTAATTTTATTTGCTTTTTTATTCGTAAAAAAAATACGAAAAAAAAGACGCAAAATGATGTATCTTTTGTCTATAGAAAATAAAAAAAAAAAAAAACAAAGTGCATGCATTTCAGGTGTATGTACACCACAACAAACAAAAGACAGAAGATATATTATTATTATAAATATAAAAATAAAAAGAATAATTAATAATAAATAATAATAAATGTTGTTGTTGTTATGGAGGTGTTTATAAGGATAAAAGATAAACCAAAAACACCAAAAAAGAAAAAAAAAGAAAAAGAAAAAATATATATAAGAAGGGGCAATTGTTTATGTTTATGTTTACATACATAAAACCCTTTTTATATTACAAAACAAAATAAAATAAAATAAAATAAAACAATAAAATAAAATAAAATAAAATAAAAATAAAATAAAAATAAAATAAAGTTTTGTTTAATGGAGGATTCTTTCTTTTTGCTGCTCATTTGAATTCTTTCTTTTCTTCTTTTCGCTTACACAAACAAATATAAATAAATATAAAAACAAAAATATATATATTTATATATATATAAATATATATAAATATATATAAATATATATATTTATATATTTATATATATATTGCTGCAGCTCTCGCTGAGCTGTAATTTGTTTTCTTAAATCGACTTTCTCTTTAACATCTCTTTCTTTGTCTATTACTCTTTACTTTTTATTCTTTTATTATTCTTTGTTTTTATTATTTAATATTTATTATTTATTATTATTATTATTATTATTTATTATTAGTTATTATTTATTATTATTTATTATTATTATTTATTATTTATTACTATATAGTATATTTTAGTATTAGTATTATAAAGAATTATATATATTATTATTTATTTATTTTAGTTTTAGTTTTTTTTTTTTGTTGCTGCATGCAGCAGAGACAAACGCAGCAGCAGAACCACAAAAAGTTGAATAAATTTGTTTTCTCAAAAAGTCAAAAAATTATTTAAATACAAATTAAACAGACTGCTGCTGCTGCTGCTGCTGCAGCAGCAGCAGCAGCAGCAGCAGCAGCAGCAGGAGCAGGAGCAGCAGCAACAGTTGCTGCTGCATCTGCAGCTGCCTGTACACTGCTGCAGCGTATATGAGCGCCCCCCGATTAGACGACAAATGAATAAAGAAACCGATAAATATGTGGATAAATAAATAAATTAAATAAATGAAATAAATAAATAAATAAATAAATAAATAAATTAATAAGAAGAAGATTGAATAAGAGGAGGACTATAAGGAAAGACCGGGGCCCCCCACTGTATTTCATAGCTTATTTCAGGTGTATCTGCAGGTACCCCAATAGAGTCTAGCTCAGCATCACCTATATCCTTTCTGTGTATAAAATCAATAGTTTTTGGTTCTTTTCCTTTATTATATTCTTTTTCTTTATTATATTTATCTTTAGCTTGGTTTATAATATTATTTTTTATATTTTTTCTTCTCCCCCACCACTCAGTAAAGGGTCTTTTAGCCCACCTAGAGAACCGCGTAAACATATGTTTAATAGAAAGCTCAAATTGTAATAAAATTTTAAATTCAGATTTTAATATTTGCCATATACTAATTAACATCATTGGCCACATAAGATAAGGAGTTAATAAACCAAACAAACCCACTTTCAATACATCTTGTGCTGCTGCTGTTGCTGCATTTGTTACTGCTGGTGCTATCACCTCAGCAGGACATATAGGTCCTACTATTAGATTCTCTAAACACTCAACAGCTGGCCCTAGACCTGAATCATTAAGATGTTGTGTTATATCAGCAACAGATAGAAATGTATAAGCAAAGAAAAAACCAAGCGTAAGCATTGCGAAGATAGCTTTCTTTCTTGCTTCTTTTCTTTCTTNGTATAAGCAAAGAAAAAACCAAGCGTAAGCATTGCGAAGATAGCTTTCTTTCTTGCTTCTTTTCTTTCTTTTATCCATCTTATTATAAACTCACCATAATAAGGAGCTTGATATATTAATGTTGTTCCTAAATTAATTAAACCCATTGCTATGTTTAGTCTACCTGCTAGAAGTAAAGAATATGCAAACCAAGTACCACCACCATATTTCATTCTTTTTATATTTTCCTTTGAGCCTTTATCTAACATACTATCAAAGTAATCTGTCTGTACACCTAAACCTAATCGAAATGCATTTACTCTATTTGGATCATTAAGAGAAGCAATAGCTTTTGTTTTATTCATTTCTTCTTCGTATGTATTTAGTTTTTTAGGGTTTTGTAGATTTGTTAATACTAAAGAAGTAATTAAACTCCATAGAGATTCACAATGATCCATACACATACTATACTGAAACTCTTTATCTCTTTCTTCTTTATTTAATAAAGCATAATCGGGGTGTATAGACAGAAACCCTGTATTTCTTTTGTATGC